TTGACCTCCCTCGCAAGGTTTAATTCCAAGGAGGCCTTAGCTTTCCTAGTTGCCTCCCTACATCCTCTGGCCACAGTCTTCTACTCCAGCCAAGTGGCCAGCCCCTGCTTTCGTGATTCATATACTCTCTTCTTCCACTTGAGTTTGCCCAGAAGTTCCCTGGTTAACCATGCAGGTCTCCTGGATCTCTGTCTTGATTTCCTACCTGTTGGGATGCACTGATCTTGAGTTTGGAAGAAGTGGTCCTTGAATATTAAACACCTATCTTGGCCTCCTTTGCCTTCTAGTACCCTGTCCCATGGGGTTTCCCCTAGCAATTGCTTGAAAACGCTAAAGTTGGCCCTGTTGAAGTCCAGGGTTGCAATCCTGCTTGGTGTTCTGTTCCTATCACACAAGATCCTGAACTCCACCATCTCGTGGTTGCTGCAGCCAAGGTTGCCCTCAACCTTCACCACTTTAACCAGACCTTCCTTGTTGGTGAGTATAAGGTCCAACAGCGCTCCTCTCCTGGTCAGCTTATTCACCATTTGCATCAAGAAATTATCATCAATGCACTGGAGGAACCTCCTGGACTGTGGATGGCTGCCTGTACAGGCCTTTCAGCAAATATCTGGGTAGTTGAAATCCACATGAGAATGAGGGCCTGTGATTAAGAGGCTGTTGTCAGCTATCTGTAGAAGGCCTCATTAACTTCCTCATCCTGATCAGGCAGCCTGTAACAGACACCCACCACAGTATCACCCATGCTAGCCTGCCCCTTCATTCTCACCCACAAACTCTCAACTCACTCCTCATATGCCCCTGGACAGAACTTAATACATTCCAGTTGCTGTCTCACATAGAGAGCAACTCTGCCACCTCACCTTGTTGGTCTAACATTCCTAAAAAGGACACAGCCATCCATGACCACATCCCAGTCATTTAAGTTGTCCCACCATATCTCTGTAATTGCCACCGGTTATACTCGTGCATAACACAGTACAACAGCAATATCAGCTAGTAATAAGCAACCCTAATGAGGCTGAGCAGGATGAAACAACCTGTTAGCCAGCTCTCTTTGCTGTTAAAGCTAAACTGTTTCCAGTGTTCAGAGTAGCTACGATACTGCTACATACACTGTGAAAATACTCTTTGGCTGACAACAAGAAAACCCAGTCCATTGCTCTTAATGTGTCTCTCTAAAAAACTGAGTAACATAATGTCAGTAACAGTAGCAACATGAACGTGTTCTAATTCACAACAAAGACCTGGCATTTTTGTCAAGTTCACCTGAAAAAAAGCCGAGAAAAAGAAAAGAGTTTTACAAAATACCCTACAATCAGAAAGACCTGCATTTTGCCAAGTTACTGCAGCAGATTGAAATATACGTCAGACTCAAAATGCCTGAACTTGAAGAGATGCTGCTGCCACCTTCCTCTATAAGACAAGCGGAGTTTGCACATTCAGCAGATTTCACCTACTCAAGACAAACATATGGAGAGAAGAAACGTAGTTTAACATATCAAACTGCAAACTTTACCCAGCAGCTGAAAAGTGAGTCAACACACACAAAAGGACAACAGTGTGTCCTCTCTAAAAAGAAATAAAATTTAAATATGGAGCTACAAGTCTCTAACATACTAAGTTTTCAAAGGTTTTTGGAAGTTAATCCCACCTAACACACACTGATCAAATAAGTTTCCCTTAGCACATATTTTAACCTATCGTTACTCCACATCCACAACGAAGGCTTAGGTGAATGACAGCACACATAAATCTCACAAAACAGGCGAGTGAAACTAGACTTCTAAGTCAACTTATAAACAAAGAAGTGTGTATTTTTCCTACTAAAAGTGATACAGTTAGTTATAAATGTTACTTTATTAAAAAAGTAATAATAAAATAGTACATAAAATAGTTTACAACAAACCTGGGTAACACCAACTCGCACTTCTCTATTGACAGATCCTCCTACTTTCAACATTTCTCCACCACTCTTTAGGAAACCAGATCCTCCTCGCAGAAATCCTGTGGCCATGAGCTCCAAGACCTCCTCAAGTGTGGCTCGCTTCACATTCTGTCGCATTACTTTTGCAAAAAGAAAAGTAACCATTTAATCCCAAAGTTCCAATCAATATAAGCACCAACCTTGAAACTAGGCTTATCAAATCAAAGCTGTCTTAAACACATAATTCTAAACAACACTGCAGATGACAGCTTGCTTTCAATGCTTAAAAAATAAGCTACTTTTCCCAGGTGATTTTTGATAGTTTGCTCTCTCTTTCTTTGTACGACTACAACAGAAATTCTGCACTCTTTACTCTTCTTAGCTTAATGTTTATAAAACCAAACAATCCACCTAGAAGCTTCCATCTACCAGGAAAAAACTGCATCATGCAACACTGTGACGAAACATGGCGCAGTTTGTCCACTTGGACATGGAATCCCAAAGGACTTGTACCTGTTGCTTGTTTTGGTATCAGTGCTGTAGCCATGACTGTCCCCAAAAGCTTTGACACTGCAACACGTACACCATAGTTTGAGTTTTCCAGAGCTTTAAAACATAGCGTTGCAACATTCTCTAGTTCAGCTGTCCACATAAACACTGCTTCATTCTGTAATTCCAGCAGACACTGTAGGAAAAAAAGACTTGCTGAGCACCAATGAAGACCATTACTACTTTTTATCTAAATAACAGCATAATTGTTAGGGTTATTCAGTAAATATTTTTAAATTAATATCTTAAGAGCTAATTTCGACACATTCCCCTAATTCACCCAGTAAGTAAACTGAGTAAATCAGAAGACTCATGGAATAAGTTAATACATAAATAAAGATTAAAAGATGAAAGCACAACAGAGGAACTACGATACAAAAACTTCTCCCACTAGGCTCACAGCTAATATAGCCTACATCACAATCATTTACGAAGTGAAGAAGACAGTATTACAGTACCCCCATTCACAGAAAGTAAGGCAAATGTCTGAACCTTCAGTGTAAACTAGTAAGGACACACCTAACTCTCAAATTTCCTATCATAAACAACAGGTCACAGTTCAACTGCAGGTACTTCACAGTCACAGCACAAGAATTTCTAGGACTGGTGAGAAAAACACCCACCTTTGCCACTGCGCATCGTACAGCCATAGATCTGTCCGTCAACAGAGACCGGGCATTCTTATAAGTATCACGGTGACAAGAAGCTGCTGCTCCTCCAAGTCCATTTAGGACTTTCTGTAAACTCATCAGAATTTCACTGCGGCCCTGAGACTGCAAACACACAAAAAAAACCCAAAAACATTTATGAAAAAATGTGGCCACAGTACTTACACCAAGAGCTAAGTGCATAATTCTGCATTTTCCTGCTTCTGTGCAGGAGTAGTTTTGGAAACATTGATAATACAGTTCACTGAAGTCCTACACAACTGATATATTACTAGTTTCAGAGAGCTGTAAGCACCACACACAGCTTTAGCTGTCACATAAATTAAGATGAGCCTGGGCAATCCAACACCGGCCATAGACAAGATACTTCTGTCCCATCATTTATCTGCTGCAGCCTCAGAAAAAAAAAGAGAAAATGCTTGATATGAGGGAAGCTCAGGTAGTCAACAGCTTCCCACTACACCTCCACGCAGGCAAGTACTCACAGGTGGAGGGCACACAAGAACAACCACACCATCAAACGAAACCAACACAGCTGAAGAAAACAGCTGGCAGGACAAGAGTCACACAATCAGTACTCCGTGCAACTTGTCACAGATTTCCAGAAAAAAAAAAATTACAACAAAACCCCAGAACAACCATTTACACCAAATCAGACCCGCTGAGGCTCAGGATACATCCTCTAAATATTAGGACACACCCTTTAGGGCACAATGTATCCTGTTCACACACAGAACAACATCTTTGTTGCAAAACTTCAGGATTTCTTATTCATTTTTAAACAACTGGATGTTCATTCAGGGTACATAAACAGAAATGATACATGTAACCATTTTGCAATTTTAATTACTGATGCCACTATGAGGCAAGTAACGTAACATCCCTACAACAAAACTCTCAGCAGCAAAAATACACACCTATGTTTAACTTGATACTATGTAAGCGATTTGCATTTTTTTAGGTAGAAGGCAAACAAAGGAGGCATTTTGGCAAATAACTTTGAAAGAAGCAGGTTTCAGTTTAAATGAAATCAAGACCACATATATCTAATAATCTGAAACTTACCTCTGCACTTTTCAGAGACTTTAAGAGATTATTCACTGTTTCTGGAAAAGAACTACCCAGCATTCTGCCCATTTTTTCATAAAATGCTCCAACACATGCCACTGCAGCCCTGTTGAAAAAGACATTAATCGGTGTACTCCTTCTCCACCATCTAAATTAAGACAAATACTTAAATAGAAATGTATGGTTTAGTCATCATTGATGAATAAAAGTCTATTTATTAACCACTAGTTATATTGGCTGTTTAACACTGCATGTAAACCATTTTTTTATTTATAAAAAAAAAAAAAACAAAACCCCTAACAGGAAAGTTATTAGCTTCTAAGAATATAAATGTATTTAAATTGGTATTTTACAGGCTCTACACATAGAGTGAAAAATTCTGGAGAAGACAAGTGTATTTTGAAATCTCAGCAAGATTATGGTTTTGGGTTTCAACAAACTGTTTCTTTTCCAAGCACCTGCAAGATAACCCCTACCCTTTAATATACCCTGAGGCATTTTTGCTAGATACTGAATGATGCGTTTTTTCAAACCTAAGAACTTAAAATGCATAAATTACTTGTATTTTGTATGCCTTTTTGTGTATTATACAGTAAATATAACATGCACATATACAGGCAGATTCTTCTGTAATAGTCAGAATCACTTTGCTT